AGACATCGGATTAGTTTGAATATTTGTAAAATTAAAGGGAAGGTATAATGGTTTGCTATTGTGCATTGTTAAGAAAATGGTAAGTCGTAATGGTATTCGAAGATAATTGATGGTCTCAGAATCATTTGCAGTGGAAAAGGAAACAGTGTGGTATGCTAACAATGTATTTCTTCTTTCAAAATTTATAATTACTAAGATGAAATCATTTTAGAAAATTATGTTTTGTCATGATTATTATTTAAATAGAGTTTGATTCTTCTTTTCCCAGCGTCATGTGGGGGTATTTATCTAGTTGTACAATAAGGGAGTGTTTGTTTCACCAAAAAATTTGGCATTTGGTATGGGTTATAAGTTTTGGGATTAAAAAGTGAGTTCTTTTGTATTTTGGGATTTCATATATGATGTTTGTTTTTAAAAAAAAATTAGAATATTGAATCCCAAAAGTACAAAAAGTGCCCAATTTTTAGAATTTGCCAAATCCTCTTAATTGGAGAGGATTTTGACAAATCCCATAAATAGGTGTGCTTATCTCTCAATTAGAGAGAATTTGACAAACTCCAATTTTATCTTTTTGTGGGAGGTAACCTCACCAAGAGAGCATATTCATCATATTACAAAATTTTGGCATTTGGTAATGCTACAATTTGAGCTTGAAACAAATAAAATGTTATAAATTATAATATTACAAATCCCAAAATATTAATGAAACAAACATTTTTAGAAATCCCAACACATAACATTTTTAGAAATCCCAAAGTATTCCATCTCCCACCGCCCGCTCTCAAGGCCTACGTGGCGGTGGGAGCTCGTGCAAACCCTCTAGCAAGCTCCCAAGGAGCCGCTTTGGGCTGGCGTGGCACGAAGTTTGGGAGCTCCCAAGTATTAAAAAAGGCATGCCTAAAGAAGGCATGCCATATCCAAAGATCTTTGCTAGCTACAGCCTCCAAAATAATTATAGGTTCATGAAAATACCTAGTATACATACCTTGCCAGGCGGTTGGACAGTTCTTCTATGTCCAGTGCATGCAGTCGATGCTCCCAAGCATACCAGGAAAACCTCGTTGTGAACTTTCCTCGAGCAGGCATGCAACGTCTTCGTTAGTCGGTGAACGAATGTATTCCTCCCCAAAGATGTTGATAATCGATCAAACGAACCTCTTCACGCTCTCAAGCGACGTACTTTTACCGATCCGAACGTAGTCATAAACGGAGTCAGCGGATACTTCATATGCGAGCATCCGCATAGCTGCAGTAATCTTTTAATGGCTAGATAGTCCCAACTGTCCAGCATCATTCCTCTTTTGGACAAAGTACTTGTCATGTTCGACGACTGCGTCGTGGATATTCGAAAGAATAACGAACGTGTCATTATGAATCTTCGACGAAAATAATAAAGAGGATAGGTTGGTGCGTCAGCAAAATAATATTGGAACAACCGATTGTGGCCTTCCAGCCGGTTTCGATGGAGCACGATACGTCTTTTGTTTTGAACTGAAGTTGAACCTTTCTCTTGTTCTTCTTCCTCGACGACAGCAGCTCCCATAAGAAAGAACGTCTTGAACTGAAGTTGAACCTTTCTCTTGTTCTTCTTCCTCGACGACAGCAGCTCCCATAAGAAAGAACGTCTTCATCATTTCATCATCGCTAGACTCCCATAAGAAAGAACGTCTTCATCATTTCATCATCGCTAGAGCTAGATGAGCTAGACATTTTGTTTTAGGAGATGATGGGTTGATGTGAGAATGTATCGAATTTTATAGGAATCAGTTGGTTGACGGTCAAAGTTTGCGATACCTCGAACTTCGTGCCCAACCTTGAAGACCGCCGGTTACCTCGAAAACCGTGGGTTACCTCGAAGACCGCGAGTTACCTCGAAGACCGTGTGCGCTCCCTCGAAGGCCGTATCCAACAGTTAGAAATAAAATAAAAGATGTTTAAATATAATTGAAAGTAATGAGTAGAAATTTTAAAATAAAAGAGGTGTTTTTTTTTATATTGTTGGAGCTCCTAACTAGGAGCTTGTTGGAGCTCCATAAAATAAAGAGGGCCTCTCAAAACTTATTTTTTTAATTTTTTATTCCAAAATGCTTGAGAGCTCTTGAGAGCTTGCTGACTAGGACTCCCAACTAGCTCGACTTGCTCTAAGGCACCTTTCCTCACCAACTCGTACACCCTCCCTCACCGACCTTCTATTCCCACCTCAGTGAAAGGACAAAAAGAAGAACAGGAGAGAGGGACGCCACACGGAAGCTCTATTCTCATTTCAGTATAAGGACAAAAGAGAAAAAGAAAAGTAAAGAACAAAAGGATGGCAAGGCCGGCCTTACCTGAAGTTCTTGTTGAGAACAAATTTTCAAATTAAACTCATTTAATGTTTTTATTAACAAATTCGACTCACTCCTATTTTCTTTCTCAAAACCGACCCATTTCGTGGCCACGTTGTCACTGTAATGGGTAGGTTTTGAGAAATAAAATAGGAGTGGATCGAATTTGTTAATAAAAATGAGTTTAATTTAAAATTTTGTTCTTCTTGTTGCCCATGTTGTCACTGTAGAAAAGAAAGATAAAAAAAATTCTTTCGGGCATCGCCTCCTAAAACGACGTCCATTCTAAGAAACGATGAAAACAAGTAAAAAAAAAAGTAGGGCGGACGGGAAAGGATGAGATCTAGGTCCCAAAATAACATCGAAGGAGCTGAAAAGAAAGACAGATGAACAGCAGGGGTGAAGGGGAATAAAAATCTATGTATAGTAAATGTTGAAATTTGACATGTTTTTCCCAAATTACCCTTGAACTCCAGCTAAAAGCAAGCTTAGCTGTTGGCAACCTGAAATAAAAGTGAACAGCTAGCGAAGGAGGGGAATGGAAGAAGAGAAAAACAAACAAGTTGGTCTCATTAATACCAGCTTTTAAACAAGCGTTTTTATTGGTTCTCAAGGTCGGAACTAAGCCGGTCTCATTAATGTCATTAGAAAAAGATTAGATGCAGTGCATATCATATTGAGCTTTGCTACAGGGACCCAAAATATGGGACCAATAAGGGGGACAAGTGAGGTGTCCCCCTCTTATTGGATAATGAGTTGATCATCATTAATGATGACCAACTCATTATCCAATAGAAGGATGACACATCACTTGTCCCCTCTATTAGTCTCATATTTTGGGTCCAATAAGAGAGGGACACCTCACTTGTCTGTATTATTGGTCCTATATTTTGGGTCCCTGTAGCAAAGCTCATCATATTTCAATTTATTTCAATTTTGGCTTTGTCGTGTAAGCTTCCTTAGCCTAGTCACGCAGAGCCTCCTTTGTCCTTCATTAAAGCTTTCTTGGGTAAGCCACTGGCTTTGCCTTTGCCGGGTGTATAAAACTAACATGAAGACGCCCTTAGTCCTGTATAAGTAGGGTATATGCAGTCATGGAGAAGGTGTCAGGAAAACTACGAAGTATTTAAATCATGGTGAAGGTGTGATGAAAACTACCAAGTATTTTATGAAGGTTTTGAAAAACTTATGTTTGACAATCACCAAAAAACTAGGAAAGTTTCAACTCTAATCCAGTTCCACTTTAAATCAGTTTAGTGTTGGACCATCGCCCATCAGTTCAACAGTAAACTGGTTTTATTGTTTCTTTTTGGTCTAAGAAAAATTGGGTCAGAACTGGCTTCATTTTTACCAATCAAATTCAAATCCAAAACTGGGCTAGGTTCAGTCTGACCCGGTTTTAGAAGTTTGCCGGACACACCCAGTTTTTAAAGACATTATCCCTCTTATTGCATTCTCAATATGTTAGGTGAATAAAATTGGATGCTCCTTTCTGAAATAGCTCTTTTTAAAAGTATTGGGATATCGGCAAGTTCAAAACCTCTTCTTTCTAATTTGAAGATCTGAATTGCTTTTGTTTCAACTAGGGGTGGAAACGAACCAAATATTTAACAAATACTTCGGTACTGATTTACTTAAGTATTCGGACATATTTAATTCCATGGTTCATTTAATAATAAACGAATAGGTTTTAGTATTCAATTCATAAATGAATAGAATTTAACCATAGGTATATTCGATTCGTTTGTTTAATAAATTATTCTATAGAAATTCATTTACTTATAACTTGTATTAATTACAAAGGTGATGTTATGGACTTGACCCACCTACATTTCTTTAAATTTAGTTGTATATTAACTTTGAGAGGTTTAACAAGTCCCAAAACCATTTTTTCAGCCAAATATTCACATTATAGATTTAGGTATCATAGATATATATGAAGGAATGATTTTCATGTATGAATTTAAATGTTATCTAAAATTTTTAATTCTTAGAACAATGAAAATATTGCTTTAACCAAGTAAAAGTATCTACTTAATTTAATTGTTTAATATTCGTAAAACATAAATTATTAATCAGACAAATATACTTTAATATTCGATAAGTATTCATGAATTATTCAACAAATACTGGCATATGAGTTCGAATTTGAAAAAAAAAATCAGAGAACAATATTCGAATTTGTATTTGAATCTGAAAATTTTAAACGAATACACATACAAATATCTAAGTATTCAGTTTATTTCCCGCCCTAGTTTCTACTATCTCCATCTTATAGAAACCGTTGCTACTAATACTATACAAAAAATTAAGGGATCACTGCGTATAAAGGTCGATTCTCTGCCGTTTCTTTAGTACCAAACCTATCATACGGTCATGATACAGATTCTCTGCATAGAGCGCCCAAGTATTCCTTATGCTAATACCCTACAATTTTCATTCTTCCTTAAAGCTAAAATGATGTTTCAGCTAAGATGATGTTTCCTATTTAGTTGGATAACAATCTTTTTTTTATGCTCAAGAAAAATTATGTCGTATCTTTACGGTAATCTTTTCTGTCCACTATTTAAGAGTAATTGTAAGTTTAACTAAATAATACAAGAGGGCATTGCTTAACCTGTGTCATTTGATGACGGCATATGTTTGGCCTGTCATAAAAAGCTGCAAAGGAAGATGTAAACACAAGCTAACAAATCTTTATCTATTTGGTAATTCATCTCTTACAACCACCATGGAAATAAATTTAAAAAGAAAAAAAAGACACCCTCGTCTTCCTCTATTATCATACATTCTTTTGGTTGGTGAAACCATATTACATCTGAAACTGTCACAAGGAACAGAATAATGTAGGAAGAAAGGAACGAAGAATGTCAAAAATCAGATTATACATAGTTGTCAGTTACCAGAGGCACAGCAGCTAGCAAATTCCATGGCCATGGGGAAAATGTACATCAAGTGAGAGATGGCCATAGCACTGCAAAGGCGCTTTTATTCCCTTTTAAGGTCCTTTACAAGATTCAATTACTTTTACAACAGCTGCGTGCGTTTCAGGTGATATCATGTTCAACTGCAAGTGAAATGCCTGATGAAAAAAATAATTGCAAGAAACTGTGTTCAAAAGCATGATATAGAAAAAAATAACAGTTTAATATAACATGACAATTTACTATAACATCATCGTCATCCAACACATAATTCTGAATCAAAGCACTGACAAAGGTAGGATAACTTTAAAACTAGTTTTCAACCAGAACTATCTGCATAGGTAATAAGTTATTGGACAGAGAATTATTTATTTCCAAGAACAAAAACCACAGGCTTTTGCCAACTAGTTGAGCCGGGGTGTAGACAAGAAGACGGGAAGGAGCACGTGGGATTGGGTTCTAATGGAGTTAGTAGTTTATTATTGATGTCTGTGTGGAAGGCTGTAGTTGATGTGCATTTAACAGGCCATTAAGGACAACATTAAGTTAGAACCTCACATTATGCTTGTAACATTGGCGAAGGACTACATCCTAACCTTGCCGCCACCCACCCACCCAAAAAAAGCCACCAAACAGAAAAAGCAAATCTGTGACAGTCAAATATGTGAACATAGTCTAAGCGAATTTCTGAAAGTAATTAGGGACATGACTTCTAGGAGAGGAACCTGCTCTCTCTCTCTCCTCGCTCTCTCTCTCTCTCTCTCCTCTCTCTCTCTCTCTCTCTATATATATATATATATATATATATATATATATATATATATATATAATATATATATATATAATACTATATATTATTAAGGTTAATAACACACAAAACAAACTCACTGAAAAGGCAGCACATATAATTTCACTTGTTTACTGCCCAACAATGTTAAAAAGAGAATGAAACAAATACAGGAACATGTGGGATGTTTCAAATGCTAACATCAGTTTAGTCAATTTGGGGGAAGTAAAAGACTTTGAAAGATCCGCCTACTGGAATTAGTTCAGCAAACTATCCAAAATTGAAGATTGTGGGAGTCATCATTATCTACACATCTTGAATTATGTGAACCAGGCATGAAGATGTAAATACAGGTGTTAAGGTGTACACATGCATATACTTAGGTTTTCATGAACTTGTTAACAAGTTCCCAAAGTGACCATAACTGTGGGACATATAGGTTTAATTGCCCCAATAAAAAAAGTTCTGGCATTTAAACAACAGTATCTTTAATATCTCACTTATCATTCACAACCCCACCAAGGAAACTATCTATCTGCGAAGAATAAAGAAACATGGGACTAAGATCATTAAATCCTATAATAAAGCATTTTGGTATACCTACCACAAATCTTTCCAACACAGGCACAAGAGCTTCCAGGTTGTGGTTTGGAAGGTAGCTAGAAATGGCTTCACGCACCTCAGTACTGAAGGCAAAATAATCGACCATGTGAATAAGATGTAATTTGCGAAAATAGAAAATCGACCAACAAATTCAAAAAGAAAACCTTTCAGTCGACACAAATGCAAGTAATAAAGCTGCATAAGCCTCAACAATCATCATTTCAGCTTCTTGTTCTCCTTGCACCAAAGCTTCATCATCCTGTTACATGGTATAAAACAAGTTAGTTGGGATACTTCACCAATGTATTTATGTATCTACTTTTCCAGAATAAAATCAATCATCTATGTTAACAATAGGATAGATCCATGTTTGAGATACACTATTGATTATTCATGGATTACACAACTGTCTTCAACGAATGAAATAAAAGAGAGAGAGGGTCAGCCGGTTGCATTGCCCCGGCCTTGCGAAAAGTACCCTTGATCTCCAAGTGACAATGCACCACATGCAAGAAGCAACCTTGCCTTTGCAGAAAGACTAACCATCAAAATAAAGGGAAAACTATAATAATTGTATGTTAATAGTGTAACTCCTTAAGATATCAGTAAAGGTAAATAAATTTATACCACCCAATTTTATCAAAACAGAAATATAAATAATGTTCTGTGAAAAATTATAATAATGGTATGTTCATAATCTAACTTCCTAGGATATCAACAAAGGAACCGTAACACATTTATAAGTATATTTTTGTGCGTGCATGTATGTACAGGTGTGTGCATAGATGTGTAGATGTCTTTTCATGTGCGCATGTGTGTTTGGCTATGTGTACGGGCATGTGCATGCATGTCTCTCTCCCTGTATCTAGAGAAAACTCTCCTGAGGTTATATTTCGTAGATACTTAACTTGGGAGTGTTTATGTTGCACCATCCTAATGACCAATCTGCATCATTTACTGTGATATGTATTCTGTAAAATACTTGTATACAAAAAATCATCCATTTTGGTACTTACTGTCTGTGACGTGTGTAAAAATGAACAATTTTTCAACAATAGAACAAATATCACCAATTTCTTAAAGGTGGAAGGGTCTTAAAAAAGAATTTTATGCAACCATTAGAGGAAATATAAATCATAAGGAACAGTTTTATTTGGATACTCCATGGTGCGATTTTATGCCAACTATGTAGATAATACCTACATTTGAGGAAATGTTAAGTCGCAGCGCTATCTCCCCCATAAGAAATCACCTTACAGTACACTACACTACACAAACATGCATGCTTGCTTGCTTTCTTGCGTGTCCGCCATCTGTCAGTTCGTCCGTACAAACAAACATACATTCACACACACACACACACATTTATATGTCTCTCTCTCTCTCCACACATATTTATATACATGTGTGTGTGCGCGCGCGCATACAAAGAAGTTAACTTTAAAAACAAACCATCATGAATTCGATTGATGAGGAGGACCAAATGCATCTGCTAGTTGCAACTTGTGGCAAACTATCCAATAAGTAGGCCCCTCACAGGGATCAAGAAGGAAATGTTCATGTAACAATAAAACATCGAGTAAAAAGCTTAATGCTTTTCATTTTGTAGACGTGTTCTATGTCCATCCTGATGTGGTAAATAACAGTCATGAGAAAGTATCTACTGTTCATATACGTGTGCTTATACATGGACATGTCCCCCATATCTTTTTGGGACAATGTCCCATAACCATGACATATGTCACATCCTATTTTCATGTCTCATCCTCGCAATGCTGGGACAAATGTACTAATTTTGGAATCAGATCAAATTGACGATACATGAACTTACACAAAGTAAGAGCTTTCCCTCTTCAGTGGTGTCCCCAGCTCCTTGATTTGCTAAAAATATGGAGCACAACAATGGAATCACATCCATGTACTTCTCTTGCATCTCTAATGTTGCTGGTCCCTCCACTAAAACTCGCGCTGATGCAAGGCACAATCTGCAGAAAAACTTCCAGTTTAGATATTGAAGGCATTACAGTCCATCATTATTGCTATGGTTGGAAGTTTAGATATTGAAGGCATTACAATCCATCATTATTGCTATGGTTATACAAACGAAAAATAGTTAAGGAGAAACAGAAATTGCATGGCTCCTAGACTCTCCAGCAGAAGAATACACTTTAAAGAACGCAACTGTAAAGTTATGTTGTGTTGCTTTTGCCCATTGATAAGTCCTTTTAAAGGACATATACCAAAAAAGCTTCATAGAGAAAACTTCTGATGGTTAACATTTTAAGTGCTTCCAAGAAAAATCAATGTTCGAATATTTGTTTGATGGAGTTTGGAGAAGAGTAGATGTTTGAGAAAGGAAGTCTTTTTTAAGCTTCACAGGAAAAGTCTGCCTAATATGGAGAAGAAACTAAAATTTTCAGTTAGACGTAAGACCGTGTGTGAGATTACACATCAGAAATAGTAGGATCACATGAGTAGGCTTCTGATTCTGCTTCTGTAGCTTTGAAAAGCCAAAATTAGACTAATGGTCTTCTACAAATCATTTTTTAAAATCCATTACCAAAAATTTAAGTTTGCGAAAAAGAAAACAACATTTATGTGCTTAAAAGCAGGGAAGTACACCCATGCAAAATTTTACACCCCTCCCCCACAAATCTCAAAAACTAAATAAATTAGTAACAATTTGAATTACTTCACTGCCAAGTAAAACCTCTTTAAATTTCTAGCAAAAAGTTTTATTGAGTGCATTCCCATCACATATTATAGCTTTATAATGTTAAATTTTTATTTCTAGGTAAATAGACGCTTGTTGTCCGCTCCTAAGGGGGGTTAGTCACCTAGAACTTAAAATTAAAACTGGAATAATATGTGGGATAAATTTTTAAGGTGTTAGTCACATAGAACTAAAACTAGAACAAAATTTTACAGTGTTAGTCAAGTAGAACTCGAACAAAACTAGAATTAGGATAATGGTACAAAATTATCCCACTTTTTTATTTTTCTATACAAAAATAAGAATTCTAGTCACACAAATTATTCCAAGTTTTAGCATGGAACTAGGTGGTAAAAAACTAGAACTCATATTTTTTTTCTTTTTTTTCTTTTTTTTTCTTTTTTTTTTCTTTACTTCTTTCCTATTATGGTTATCACCATCATTAGACCATCATTATAATAATAATTGTCAATATCTTATAGTCTAATCAAAAGTTAGTAAAGAACATTCTTGTAAGCAATTATCAATCAATAATAGTAAGTTTAAAATACGTAAATAGTATTTATATCTTCAAAATGCATAAATATATATTTCATGATTATAAAAATTTATCCCACGTTATTTTATCAAAATATCCCGCTCTACAAAATTGTTCCTATTTATCCCACTAAAATATCCAACTAGCGAAAAATTATTTCATTTTAACAATTATCTCATTTTACATGAAAATGTCCCAATTGACTAGCACCCCCCTAAGGAAAATTTTTGGATCTACCACTGATCTTATACACAACCTAAATACCGTTTATCGACATGTTTGAAAATTGATCAACCAACCATTGCAAATGCTCTTTGTGGGCGGTTAAAAATGCAAATCGTTCATCAATATCAACCTGATAAGAAAGTGGGCCCTACCAAGGCCACTTTGGTCGCACAACTTAACTAATGGACTCAACAATATCCAAAGAGACCACAAATTGGCTAAGGATACAAAACTAATAAAATCCTAAGTCAAAAACAAGGCCGAAATTAACTCAAAGGCAGAATGGGCTCATAACAGCCTTAACCCGGCATGGCTGCTAACCCCGTGTGGTTGTTAACCCCATGTAGCACTTAACACAACGTGAGCTTAGCCCTGTGCAAATGTTTAATTCCTCACACTTAGCCCCATTGCTCAACCTCGCATGAGGTTCAATGAGATGACATATCAATGATGGCAACCTCTATCAGATGCCACATCATCAAATCCCCACATTAAATGCTAAAATGTGGATGTATAGTGGCACAAAGATGTAACCCTGACTCCTGAGTGATTTAGAACAGTCTAAATTTTGATGATTTTCATTGACCCGCGTAGCCACGTAAGGCTGATAAAGTTGTTGCTCTGCACCTGACCCTTTTTGAGCTCCTCGCCACTTTTGAGCTATGAAGTGATTGCAACATTAAATGCTCGTACTACTAAGTTAACCCGGTGGGCTAACCCGCGTAGAGAGAAATTTGGAAAAATTTAAAAAAAAACATTTTTAACATTTAATTAGCAAAATTCGACTGAAACTTTATTTAACTAGCAAAATTGACTAGTTTTCAGCCACGTGTGCAGAACTAGCTAAAAACTAGTCAATTTTTCAAAATATAATATTTAGAAAGCTATGGAGCTAGCAGTCTCAAGTAGTTAACAAATACAACTAATCGCACGAGACTAGTAGTCTCGTATAATTATCAACAAATGTTACTGCATTTTCACTTTTTCGAACAAATCAACCATGATTTACCAAAAGAGTAGATGATGTGGCATACAGTCAATAGTGGAGAAATTACCTCTATAAGTTTAATGATGGATATGCTTGGTAGGTCCCCACAAGTGAAATTGGACACATGAGTTCTACAAATGGATATGTGTGGGCCCAATGGGGGAGAATTTACTAATGGGGGAGAATTTACTTGTGATCTACTAGGAACAAATGCACGGGACTAGTAGTCCCGTGTAATTCCCGTGTAATTAGCGAACTTTACTAATTACACGGGACTACTAGTTCTTTGCTTTTCAAAGTCGAAAGTTCGCAAAATTGATCAACTTTCATCCAATTTTGCTAACATGACTGAAAGCTGGTTAATTTTGCTAATTAAATATTTTTGGGTTGATTTTTCTAATTAAATTTTAAAAAAGGTCTATTTTAAAAACTTGTTCGAGAAAATTTTAACCTATAAATAGGCCACGTTCTCCAATACTTTAGAGGCTCTTCTTATTGGTTCAGCCCACACTTGGGCTCCGCCCCCCTTGGCTGCTTGGTTGCTAGGTTAGCCTCATGCCACGCCTGCTGGCGATGGGTTAGACTAGGGCCACAGTGCCAGAACTCTTGTGATCCAAGAGTATTACACCCTATAGCACTTGTGATCTTCGATCTCATGTTGGCATAGCCTTATAGTACTCGATGTACGATCGTTTGTTGGTATTTCTTCACTTATTCAATAAGGTAATCTCTCCGAGATGAGTTAGTTCTTCGACATAGAGCTCCATTCAACTCCAAAATCGATAACAAAGAATAACTTCAACAACAACATCCCCGTGGTCAATAGTGCAGGAAGCTAGTCTCTTTCGACACACTTTTCCGGAATCAAAACTTGTAAGTTTCATTTTTTGAGTCAAGAAGAACAATGTAAAACTATGTATTTTTTAACTTCTTTTGACAATAAAAAACTCTTAATACTTTTACACGACTCCATTAACCTATATAAAATAGCGGTTAATTATAACCAGCTAAAGTAGGACGTATCTATCATTAAGTTAATACAAAAGTTACTGCTTTATGCGAAGCAACAGAGAGATATTAAGCTTCGAGAAACTATGATCAAATATAACAACCAACAAGAACTTCCTTAAAACAAGAAACTGAAAATAAATTGTATGACCACTTCATTTTAGACCCAAACATCATGCTATCAACTACGAGATAAAGCACCATGTGTCCTCTCTTGATTTCTTTGGATTTTATCCAAAACCAAGCACTAGTAGATTGGAGACTTCACTTGTTACATAGTTCGCCACATAAGATTTAGGTAAAAGAAGAATTTCTTGAATTCTATTTGAGTATCATACACAGCAAAGCATGGGCTCAAGTGTGATATTCAACAAATTCGCATAATGCTACGTCCACTGCCAAACAACAACAGATCCAGAGAGCACTAAGTTATGCAATGAAAATTAAAACTTGTGAGCTTAAAATTAGCTTGAAAATTTGAGAAAATGAGCAAGAAATGCTCCATATAGATCGAAGAATAAGGACTTCAAGAGTTAGGCCCCTCAAAAAAAACTAAGTTACATGTTAGAAAACCACAGAAAGATATTCAAGTTAGGATCAGAGTCACAATTCATTTCTACAGTTATCTCATTGAGGGTAAGGATAAGAGTCACAATTCACTTCTAGAGTGTAGAAACATGTGCGTACCGCATCCCAAAGAGCAAGTGATAACAAATAACAAATCTGATTTACAAATTAAGCTGAGAAAAAAACATTGTCAGAAAATACTAAAATATGAGTTAGAAGTTAATTTGAGATTGAAATTTGTAGTACAAAACTGCCGGAGTTGAAATCAATGAATCATGACTCGAGGACTTACATTTCCACAACCACCAAAACTTATCAGAGCATAATGAAAATTAGTAAGAAAGAAAGTTTATATAATCGAGAGTGGGATATTCTCAAAGAAGATTAAACAAAGAAATTGGCACAACGAGTATTGAAGGGTCCCCTATAAGCATTTATAAGACAATCAAGTAACAAACATAAATAGTTCAAGAAATTACGGAAATACTATATAGTTACAATAAAGAGAGAAAAAACTAGTCTGCTCTATTAATAAAGATTTAGAGAAAACTAGAGTTAACAAACAAGAATAGAAATAACCTGTTTCGACTGTCCTTCTCCACAAGGTTCACTAACAAGCCCAAAATCGCAACAAGGAAATCCAGACTATGATCAGTAAGATGTCTATTACTTAGACTGCCACAACTAGTACTTTGGGTAGAAGATGACACATCCTCCTTCAATTGGCTAATCACAGGGAAGCTCAGGTTATATGATGGGAAATTATTGACGATCAAAGAAACCATTGTGTCCAGTCCACCACAAGCAGCAATCTGTTGACAGCCGACAGGGTTGTCATTCGTCAAATTCATAAGTACCTGCCAAGGAAAAGATTTAATCATTTTCAATATAGATATTCAACAAAAAGGATTCTTGTAAAACCCTAATCTCCACATTCTACAAGGATGTAACTGCAAATGCATGCAGCCCGGTCCAATACAGAAACTGGAACAAGCATAATATTATAATTCAGCAACAAATAACGCGTAAATGTAAATGAAGCATGTAAGTTGGTGAGAAAAAAACAACAGCTCAAACAAATTATGCCTTGTAAAAATATGCCAGGTCCCTGCATTGATAAACGATCTCTCGGAGAGGCAAAATGTCGCAATTACAAGTGACAGTATATTAGTATATTCCAGAAAGCACCTTGGAAAGGTGTGTTGACCACATGACCCCATGTTATGAAGCCATTCTGACAAATGAGGAGAAATGGATAATCTGATGATGAATAAAAAAGTTTAAGTGAAGGAAAAAAAGGAAGTGGTGAAAGAGAACAGATCGGCTACTTTAAAGACAATCAAAGAACCTACACAATCACTGATACCAAGGAAGGCTAAATACTATTTAAGGATACAATGCAATTAAGAAAGGCAACCTGAAGTTCAGAAAAACCAATGTTATGTTTCAAATAATACATGTAACTCAATTGTGAAAGCAGCAAAGAGAGCGCGATCTCTGGGGAATCTAAAAATATCGGGTTCCACAGGATAGTGAGAGCAAGGTGAGTCGTATGCATACTTCTAGAAAAGTAGGAAGAATCAAAACCTTGTCATATATAAAGTAGACTAAATCTAAGCCACATGATAACTAGTCATAAAGTTAGAAACAGGAAGAACGAGGAATATAGGTTACCTTGATTTTACAGTGAAGACCAAATAATTCTTATAAGAAAAAAGAGGAACTTTGGAAAGAGAAGCTATTTCATGAAATATTTGTGGAGAAGAGGTAGGATATAAAAATGAAGAAGCAAATGACTTTTGCAGATTTTTATAACCATATGTATCGAATTTCAGGATTGTAAGTGCTTAGGACTTAGGAGAAAGGCGGTTTCTTAGTACATGCATTCAACAAAACTATGAAGGTCAACATCTATTGAGTAGAGAACTACACAAAAATTATTGAAACTATCAGTAAGAAAAACTAAAGTATACAAAATCTAATATCGTTCTTATCTCCTTTACTATTTATAAAATAAAGAGTAAGAATATATTGATGAATGATAAGCAGGTATATTTTCAAGATGAAGGGATCCTACAGTATTATTATGGAATCAATCTGATGAGCCACTTCCAAAGAATATGTTTTAGCAATGATTAAGACAGGAAAAGATCATTTCTTATAAAACAATTCTTTTGAGGTGAACTAGTGAAGCTATTTACGAATTAAGGCAAGCACAAGGTTTACTTGAACTGGAAATTTTTTTGATAAGGTTCTGGAATGGTGTTTTCACAACAGAAAATAGCGAATGGTTTTTAAGTGTGATTAAGGACATGTATGATGGCGTAGTAACTAATTTAGGAACAACTAGAAGAGTGATAAAATCTGTTTTTCGTCAATAGAGGCTTCTGCCATGTGTTGCCATGAAATATAAACAATTTCCACTAGTCACAGACTCACAGGAGAGCAAAATAAATGCATCAAGATGAAGTTCCATGCCATATATTGCTGGGAGAGATGCTCAGAAAGACTGGATAGTTACGTGCAACTTACTATGTGAGGTCTCGATGACATTCAATGGTATACTTGGGGCAGAGGAGGAATAAAGTTAGTAGAAAAAGAAAGTGGCAGAAAGAACTTTACAATGGGACAAAGACAGAATACCTGAGAAGAAACTCTAGCAAAACAACAATAACACAATAAGAAACGGTTCATGTATGGTGATGAAATGCATGAAGATTGCTCCTCATGGTAAAGAAGAGAAGCACCTAGCGCACTTGTCATAACAAACAGGAATTAAATAAGTTTTTGCTGGAATCTCATATGACTGCAAAGACCCACGAAGATAAACACAAATACCATTAGATAGCTAGGAATTGGTAGTGCTTACAGTCAAAATAGTACACTCTCAAAAGCTCCCAGAAAAGAGAGTTGTTGCATAGAGAGCAAGAAAAGAGTAAATGAAGCACGAGAGACTTATGCTACATTGGGTTAAGCATAAATAAAAATGTTGCAGCAAGAAAATGATCTGGTGGAGGCAGTCAATAATATAGTAGCTGCTAAGGTACCAGAGAATTAAATTAACGATGGCTAAATGAGAAGGATTCATGCAACTATGCAAGCAATAACCCACAAGCTTATGTGAATGCATTATTGGAATTCTGGAATTTTTATGGTTTATCTGATTACAAGAAATATAAAGCCTTAATTACTTTCTCAGTTTACTTTCATACTTATTTCTTAACAGAAATTATGTAGATATCATCCCTGCCCAAATGTTACAGCATGTATGGTAGATAATATTTTTATTTTGCATGAATTTATACAACTAATGTACGTGTATGATCATAAGCTAACGTGAGGACAATATGGATCATTATAATTACCTTGACCGCGGCCAGAAGGCAGTCTTCTACAAGGTTAGAATCTTCTGGGGATACTGAGGGACAGTCTTCTTCCCATGATTTATGACTATCTACTGTAGTTGACTCACTTAACATCTGGTCTATATCCATGCTGAAGTCATCACAACCCTTAACACGGTTTTTGTTTGCTGTGCTCTGACGAGATGTACTCTTTTTTCTAGCCAATGTTTCCCATTTTGAGGGTTCAAACTCACCTTCATCAAATGCAAATGGATCACAGCTACCAGTTGCATGTCCATCCTTAGTATCTTCAGACATATGTGATCTCTTTGACTGTATACAAGAATCCGTTTTTGAACCAATTGCTCTGAGGGAAATCCATCCACGTGCATGCTTACTAAAATTATCAGACTTCCCCTTTAAACCACTGGTAATTACACTCATCCTTAAACCATTAGCACTTATATTGACCTTTAAACCATTTGTATGCATGTCATTTCCCCCATTAGAACCACTTGACGTTCTGCCATGTATTTTGGATGCGTTACTCCCAATTTTGCTATTTCCAGAATAAATATTGCTGCGAAAGACACCAACCGCTTCTGAACCACAATCAGTTAACTCCGAGGGAGAAGCAGAAAACTTTTGGCGTTTATGACATGTTAAATTTCTCTCCTTGGAGACCTCATTACCTGCCAAAATGCTGCTTTCGTTACTGAAATCAAAATGAATTAAGATAATGCTTAAAAAGAAATCGCCTGAAACAGTTTGCTGGTAAAACTTGGAGAACAAAAGAGTTGACCTTTAGCCCTTTTCATTAGCAGTATTATGAATATATAATATAATGTCACAAAAAATCATTATATCAGAACAGTTACCATAATGGAAATAATGACACATCTTGTGGGTATGTTTTAGCATATTTATGCCTACAACAGCAGCAGCAGAGTAAAAAAAAAGAACAAAATGAACATTAAGCCAGAAATTAGAATTTTGAGGATTTAACCAAAAGGTTGTGCAGACAAGGATAAAAGAATGACGACAGAACTCCATGCAAAAAATTGCCTTTCTATGAATTTTAATTTTCAATTGGTTTTCTTCTAAATATAAAGAGTCCATGTGTGTGCAAGTTGAACACTTGTGTCTGTTATATGTTACCTGCCTGCCAAGTTGAAGAGAAAGGTCGGCAAATGCAGAAATCTACAGAAAGGCCAGCACAGTAAAAAATTCAGAAAAAATATTTTCTGGATGCCAAGTGATGCATGAATGTAACAGCTGTTAAAGGAAAAGTAAATGTGTGATTCTATTTGATTTGAATGAAAAATGGCTCAGAGGATTCCTTCTTAAGTTCAAACACAGTTGACCCTAGACAGTTTACTAAAACACAACCAAGCTATACAATGATATTCTTTTAGCCATGTACCTCTTTTGCTTTCATTAAACTGAGCTGAAACATGATTGAAGGGAATGCCAACATTCTCTGTATGACATGTCAACTTCCCCTTGTTGCAAATGCTCAAAGGGCTTTTAAGAAGAGCAAGATCTATAATAGAAATAAGTCATCAGTAATGGTAACCATTATAAAAATCAGCTTCTGCAGGAAACAAAGAAATTGCAGAAGAAGATTCAACAAATTATTGTGTATATGGACCTGACAAAAATTTAATGGAACTGACAACTACTCCAACAAAAGACATGGACAGCCCTTCAGAATCTATTTTATTCCTCATGCCAAGCAAATAGCCCTGAAAAAGAAGAATAACAGAAGATTATGCAGTCGTTTATAGAAGAAGAGCTCATAAAGCATTACAAGTCTAAAACTGAATATATAAATAAAATAATTGCCTGATTATCTTTACTCAGAAATGTTGCATTTTCCAATATCTTTAAGCACTTTAGAAGAAGTATCACACTTTCAAGAATTGCTCCATTTTTCAATTCTGAAACTGAAGAAGATCTGCATTTTAACCATCTCTGCAATTCAGATATATCAGTGGTTAACTTAGAGGAGAAAACCCTCAACATAACTCAATGGGAGAATAGGATTCATGTCAACGATATAAATTGTGATACATGCTTTGTTGTTGTTGATATCGTTGCAATTCAAGTATATTAGCATCAGTAGAACTAATAATAAAATTATAAACATCAGCAATCAGTTGTGGCTGCTTTAGTTGTTAAGCGCTAGACACCACATAATGGAAAATGTAATCAACGTTTTATACATCACCACTTGACTAGGCATAATATACAAAAAGTATATATGTGTTATTGAATCCCTTTACTATTATGACGGGCAAATTGAATTATATGCTTCTTAGGATTAGAAATTGATAAATAAGTAGTTGTTACCTGTGCAATGCACGGAACATAGTATTAAAATATTGTTGTGCACGCATATTGATAAATAATTATGAGCTGTAAATGAAAATGACTTTAATCTACCAAACTCATTCCAAAATTCCACTGTCTCCCTGTTCAAAAATTCCAGCCAGCAAGAGTGAAGTTAGGGGCTGTTTGGTTGTATGTTTTTACCATGTAAAAGGATGTAAAGTGTAAAAAAGTGGGTCCCAATGTCAGCTTTCATCACTTTCAATTGTTTGTTTGTAGTTGTGAAAATAGTGTAAAGTGATTTCATATGCTGATGTGGCTTGTAAAGTGATTTCATGGAAAAAAGACATGATTTTAGGAGAAAGCTAACATTGAAGTTAGGAAAAAATAATAAAAAATAATTCCAACCAATATGATCATTTGAGTAGGGACCACTTTTTATTTGAGTAGGGACCACTTTTTACACTTTCCAAACAAACAATTAAAGTTTTATTTTGCAAACCAAACAAGTGTTTTATGATTCCAATGGAATCAAAAACAAACAAAGAAAAGTATAAAAGTGAAATTGATGAGGTGGACAACAACTTTCCAAGTTGTGTCATAAATACACAACTTTACCAACAACAACCAAACAGCCCCTTAAGGTCAGATTCTAGGCAGGAAAAGAGTAGTAGAGAAAACAGGTGAGTGTGAAGAAGCAGGGGGTGCAGACTAATGCTAATGGTGAAAAGAAGAGAGGAAATAAAGAATAGAAGACAAACAAGAAAGAATAAGAATATGCAGCATATATTTTGTACAATTAGTTTACAATTATTTTGAGCAAATTATCAACCACAGGATAGAAATAACTAAGAGCCTCAAACTCAAACTGTTTATTAATCAAATTGATAATTTGATACTAGCTTTGCCGAAAGACTATAGTGATGCAGCACAACTTATATGATTCTAAACAAGTAACCTAATCCAACTCAATGCAACAGAAATGCAGATTACTTTATGGAACAATGCAATATAACTATAAATAATAAAATTTACAAATCGATGACTAATAGTATAAACGCTAACAGAAACTGCAATACTAAAGGATAAGTTTGAATTATTTGAGTGTGTGAAGTTTTATATGATTCACAGAACTCTAGGAAGTAATATACTTATTGGTTCGAATTCCAGTAAGTCAGAATCTAACATTAAGAATTTCAAGTTGATAATCTGATCTATAGACCTGCAAATTTGATTAACTAACTCTAAATTTCCACATAACAAAGATCATTGTGGTCAAATAGGAATAGAAGATTATAATTGAAGCAGTGTAGGAAGATCTGGAACGAAGTCGAGTCAGGGTAAAGTCTGGTTGTTGATGAAGTTGATGTAAGCAGAAGCTTCAGTGGAGGGGAGAATCTGAACGGCAATAGATGATCGGCAAGGGCTTGATGGTAGCATTTTGAGATCAGACAGAGAACTCCAGGATAGAAGTGGTGGAAGTCACAGATGAAGGAGCTGCTGAATGAGATTGTTTCTCAAGGATTCACAATGAGGAGGTCGACAACGGTGAGATCGGAGCATAGGCGATGACGCCAATGGGTTCCATCACGAACAACATGAAACTTGATTATGATGTGCTAGGTGCGACTATGGAATGTGGGATTCTTCATTATTATGTGGCGGGATTGTTGTCACTTGTTTCTCACCAATGTCTTCAAGTTTTTGTCCCAACATATCGCATGTTATATTGCCACAACGACTGAAACATATTCGGCCTTGGAGGAGGGTAATGCCACTATCTCTTGTTTCTTTGATGCTCATGAACATATGTCAGTTACAAGGGTGAATACACACACTGACGTGCTTCTCATGTCTTCAATAATTTTAACCCAATTACAATCACAAAACCCCAAAAAACTTTGGCGTTAGACTTCCACTTATTATGTACAAGATCCCAAAGCTTTTGATGCATTGGATGTATCTGAACACTGTTTTTTTTTTGCACCCACAAAATGATCCTTACTTGGCTATTGCATGAACGGTGTCAACAACAAGCTTGAAGCATACATAACGTTCGGCCTTGTAGTTGTAAGTTATATTTGACTTCCAACCAAGCTTCTAAAAAGTGATGCATCGATTTCTCCACTTCAATCTTCTTTCACAAATATTTCATTCACAACTAAGGGTGTTAGCACCTCACTGCAATTCTCCATTCTAAACTTCTTGAGAATGCTCTCAGCATACTTCTTTTGGCAAATAAAAACATCTTTCTTTTCTTTGCTCAACTTTAATACCCAAAAGGAAATGAAGTAATCTCATGTCATTCATTTCATATCTTTTTATAGTATCTCTTTTGAATTCTTGAAACATTTGCATATCGCTACCAGTATAAATCATCAAAACCAAGAGAAACAATGAGTGTGCTAGAATTACATTGTCTTTTCTATGTTGTCAGTTTATGAATATTTTTAACGAAATATTTAAACTATTTTTTAGCTTTTTCATACTTATGTCGCAGCATTGCGTGGATCAATTTTACTCGTGATCATCAAATCATACTATAAATAATCTATCCTACTATTATTTAAAATTCAAATAACCAAGATTCAAAGTGACGATGTCATGTGCTTCTTTAGTAGACATGAACACTCAGCTCCTTATCATATAGTAACAAGAGGCATGGCATTTTCTAAAGAACAAAAGATTCCCAGAGTCCAAATACATTTTTGAAAATATTACAAATTCCCCTAAGATTACACTAACAATAGTAGTTAGTATATTAGGAAAATTAGCAAAAATTGCTTATTCCCACATTTGAAGATTATCTAGCGGTAAATATATTAGTTTACAAAGATAAAATCTGACAATTCCTCTCTGGGATCACAGATAAAATCTTGCTTAGGCGGAGCTAATAGTAAATGGGACTCGAATTGGACGATGTGGAAATATTTTCAAATTCATTTTCTCTTTAAGTGCAATAATTGCATGTGAATGACATCCCAATGCACATGACCACCCTGTCTTACCACATTTGTCTCTCCAACAAGGACCTCCATTATCTTCTCCATCATTTTCCCCAAATAAACAACAATAAACAAAAAAACTTTGAAAAATCTTACATGTGATCTCATAAGCTTCCTTGATCTACTATTTTCCGGTTTAGCTTTATTTCTATTGTTCTGTTATGTTATGTCTCTTTGTCTAAGACCTATATGTCTTGTAAACCTCAACACTAGTCTCTATGTTTGTGACTTTACTAGTTTTTTTTTATGATCTGCTTGTCATAATGCCTTATACCAAACCACATCTATATGTAACCAATGTTTTAAAAAGCCTCTGCCTAGTCCGCCTAGACGTACGCCTAGGCCTAAGTGGTACCTTAGCCCCTACCTAGCGCCTAGCGCCTAGTGCCTAGACGGTACGAAAAATGCCCACCTATATTTTGGGAGCGCCTAGAGGAGCGTAGTCTGCCTACATAGACTACACTCTTTAGGCATTAATCATGAATTCTTCCATTGTAGCCTCCACATCTTCCAACCTCCTCCAAACTCTAACTATGAACACCTCCTCTACCTCTTCCAACCTTGAACAAAACATCCTCCGCCACCACTGAAGAAATCTGCCAAGGTGTCACTCCAGCGTAAGCTTTCTATAACATTGGGATTTACTATCAACAATTGTAATTAAAAACAAAAAAAATAGGAAAACACTTAGGCCCCACCTAGGCTTCCTCCTAGGCACCTAGACTCTAGGCGTTGGGTCCAATGCCTAGGCCGCCTACTGCTTTTGGTAACCTTGTATGTAACAATGTCTTATACCTCACCACATCTATTTTTATGACCTACTTGTCACAATGTCTTATACCTCACCTCATCAAATATGTGACAAGTTTTCATATCCGAGGCCATAATACTTGTTTCTATCCCTGAGACCCGGCTACCTGTCTCCATGCCTCAGTTGAGACATTATTGCTTGTAAATATCTCTATGACCTGATGTCTAGATGTCTTAGACCCCATTACATGTTTAAGACTATGCTACAGGGAAGACCTATGTGAGATCATACTACTTGCTTCTATCTGAGACCCCACTGCCTATCTCCATGACCGAGACCCTACTACTTATCCCTATGACGGAGCTGTAATCCTATTACTTATCTCCATGCCCGAGACCCTGTCACCCTGCTACATGTCTCCATGCCTGAGACATATTTGACTTTTATGTATGAAATCAACCGTATTTGCGATCGTCTACATCTTCAAATTACTACTACCAAGCAGAACGACAAGTTCATACCCCTTTTTAGTATAAGCAAAAAGGAAAAATGGAATGGTTTTGTTCTTCCTAATAACTTTCTTTTGTCAAAACTTCGACTAATATTGTTGAGAGTAAAGTAGCTAAAGATTGAAACGAGAGAACTAATTATTGCAGACCAATATTGACACTTCTTTTATTAGTTCGGATGATCCAATTCATGATATCTTCACTAAAGTATTAGCTAAAAGTCTAAGAAAGTTGTTTGTTTTTATGTAATAAGTTAGCATGATTGATACATACCCTTCAGTTTGAAAAGAAGTTAGACTGTTTAGTGTTTAGGAAAGTTTGAGAAGATTGTTTCCTCATGAGTTGGAATATTATATTCTATTTGTTTACTAAAAATAAAACAGGAAAAGGTCTAGGCCGAAGTCACTTTCTCAAATAATAACTCTATATAGATTAGGATATCTTAAAACATATGCAAAAGGCAACTACATTCCAGGTTAAGAAAGATGAATAATGCTAAGCAGGAGGAATTTTCACTCCAATATCCCTTGCTTTTTTATACAGAAGAACATGGTAACACAATAAAACAGCTAGACTGACCTCCATCGTTGAATGGCAACTGATTACAACATCAAAAATTGCATCAAGTCCTCCATATTCTCTCAACCTTTCTTTAAAGTTTCCTCTGGCCTTCCTCACAGATTCAGATGCCTCTGAAAGTATGATTTAACAGAAACAAGTTTTTACCAGCCAATATATTATTTGAAATTCAAGAAAATATTCACTGATCAAGATGATCAAATAGGTGGAGAATTAGCTAAAGCTTATTCAACACAAAGCATGAATCAGAATAAAACAGAATTACTCTTGCCAGCTTTAAATTTTGAGCAAACAGATGGAAGCAAGTAAATGTAAACAAAAGGATGAGAAATGCAACAGGTCACTGTAAGAGTTTCAATCTCAGAAGATAAAGATAAAAGCTTAAAAGGATAATTTCACATGATACAAGAGAAAAGCAAATCCCGCATCAGCTAATTCAACCTGAAAGTTGAGAACAAAACCTACCTTCAAATGAGACAGTTGATAGGCATGCTTTCTCCATAGTCAATAGTGATATCCATTTTGAGCTCAACTCTGGCCTATGCATTCCTTCATCATCCCCAACACCTGATTTTATCTCTTTACAACTTACAAGAATTTCCTGAACCTTTGAGATGATTACTCTTGAGCTAGAATCTGTTCCTGTGTTTGTAACACTTGCAACTTGAGGCCTGCGCATTCTTAGAAGTTTAGAGCCAATTGTTGGTGCCCTGCCCTCAACAGTATCAGTCACTGGTGGATTCAATAACTCAAGAAGAAAACGGATGCAAGGTGGAGAATCCAGCAGATGATCATCATGAACCTGAAAGCAACTCAGGAAAAAGAAGAAAACAAACAAAAGAGTTAGATAAATATTCGAGGGATAAGCTCTCGTCAACTAAAATAACTATGAGGATCCAGCATGACTTGAAGTGGAGAACCAAAGAAGTGCGACATCATGAGGATCCAGCATGACTTGAAGTGGAGAACCAAAGAGAAGTGCAATATCACCTCATAAATGATACCACCAAGTGTAGCCAATCTATATATGCCGGTGTATTAACATTGCCGATAAAGTTTAACAGTTATCAAGCAAACTTATACCTATAAGTTTTAATATAATAATAAACAAGAGTACAAGTAAAAAAGAAGATGGTAACATATGAATAAGAGTTGTGTGTGTGTGTTGTGTTTGTTGATATTATAGAGGACATGTTCCCAATCTTACATACAAATTTCAAGAATCCATGATGAATATGCTTTTGGATAAAGGACGAGCAGGTTCAGAGACATAAATTCATGAATCTCTCCATTATTAAGAAAGAAAAATGAAAAGTAAACATTTATTACAACGAAAACATATAAACAGAATGAAGGTAAAACTTTGTGGAGCTGTTTATTAAGATGTAGATTATGATCGAAGCAGCGGTAAGATACATGACTAGAACTTTGACTCCATAAAATAACAAGCAATAATAGCCAATACTTTTGCGGAATCAGAGAAAAGGAAGATAATGTAATAACATTAAGTAAAGGTAGCCTAGTGCACGAGGCTCCCACCATTGTGGGCTCTGGGGAGGACTAGATGTACATGTGAACCAAAATTCATATTAGGAAACAACAACTTCAATCCATTCTTGCTCATTTTATCCTCAATTGGAGCAACCACCAACTTCCTACTAATGCACGCACTTCTTATCACTTGGCGTATATCCACATCCATTGTAATATTCTCATCTCAACTACACTCAATTTTTGCACTTGTTTATTAAGTGTCCAACATTCACAAATCCATCGCAACATTCTCATTTCTGCTAGTAATCTCTTGTGCATGTTGTTTCTTAGTTGTCCAACACTATCATCCTTAAATCATTATGGGTGTTACACTTTCCCTATAACGCTTTTACTATTTTACTACTTTACAATGAAGCACTCCTCCTTTTAACCGTCATGATTTGATTCATCAATCACAGCATTCTTAGTTTCACCGTCTTGACGAGTAATTCATCATAATAGTAAATAGCAAAGTGAGGCGACTAAAAAGTGTGGCTAAAGATTAAGAAAAGTAAGAAGCATAGACACAAAGACGCCTAGAGACCCATCATCCCTAAAAATATAGGACACTGGAATACAGTGACGAGACAATGTTCGTATTCATAGACACAAAGACGCCTAGAGACCCATCATCCCTGAAAATATAGGACACTGGAATACAGTGACAAGACAACATATGTATTTAGGTGTGCATAAATATACAAATATTTTAGCGAACATGGCCATGATTCACTAATGACTTACCTCTGGACTGAATTTGTTATCTAAGTGTAAGCATAAATCAAAAGAGTTACTACAAGCTGCAGACTAGTAACTGTGTAATCTAACAAAATGCTGAAGTGTCCTATAGTATATTACATCTCCTATGGCTGCTGCCATAACAATATTATTAATAATATGTTAAGTGGAGAAAAAAAAAGACTTACATCGCTGGCCAAAACAAAGAAAAGAGTTGCAGCAGCAAGGGTGCTTGGCAAGTCATCAAAGTTTAGACCTAAAATGGAATCAACTATTCTCTTGGCCATCCTGTATTAAGTAAAAGTATTTAACAAAAAGTTAATGATAATCACACGAAAGGAAGAAATAATTTTCTATTAGACTTAAAAAATGAGCGGAAATGCTACACTGAAAACATGAAGAATCACACACTGGAAACATAATTTTATATATTATTGTACTTTTAAACTAGCAACCAGAATTAAGAAGTCCATTCGGAAAACGACAAAACCATGTTGGCTCTCACATGAACTGTGAAGGATATAACAACCAAAGTTGTAAATTAATAATGGGAAAAGAAATTTGAAACTTTACGTTTTCCAATGTTAATATTATTCAACCTCGGGACATTGCATGACGATAAAATCATTTAACCCGAAAATTAATAGTAGCAAACATTGAAGTGAAAGAAGGCATGCACATACAGGATAGTCCTTGACTCTTGACGCAGTACATATTACAAAAAGATCCCCAAACAGAGATTGACAAAGTTTTCCCTTAACTTCATACTTGATTTAACATTTTTTAGCCACTGGACATACATGGTACATACACACATGGTACATACACACGCGCATTAACACAACCTGCGAAAACATAAAAGGGTTATAGATTTTATATCAAAGATATGAAAGAGATTGACACTGTTTTCGCCATTGGTAGTCATGTGCAAGGTAAGGTACCAATTTAACTGTTAATATAGTCTTTTAGATTCATGCACATGACTACCAACTGCTAAAACAATGTCAATCTCTTTCATACCATTGATATAGAATCTATAACCCTTTTTATGTCTTCACAGGCTGTGTTAGCGCATGTGTGCATGTACCATGTATGTCCAGTGGCTGAAAAATGTTAAATCTCCTCCAAATATTTTAACCTCTAAATTTAACAACAATACACTATGCATGCAGGGTTAGCATATACATAGGATGCAAATAAGAATTTAGTAGACCAGGTGACATTCCTAATCACTTGATGATAACAGCTAGATTTTAACCTCTTAGACATAATAAAATCCACTTACAATAATTTGAGTGTGATATGAAACTCCTAATTCATGCATCACATCACAATTTCAAGTTGAATAACTCCGCGGAGTTAAAAGCCAATCATTTTCAGTTTCTTTATAAACTTTAGAAGGGATGTTCTGGAACATCTTGACTTTGGGGCCATATGGAGTTTAAAAAAGCATAGCTTAAACTGAAAGTTATGGATCACCATATTCAAACTCACCTTATAATTCATAGGTGGGCATAAGCTCTAAAAACACGGGTTTGGATTCCCTACATTCTTAATTGTAGAGAACCCCTGCAGTCGGTTATGTTGACCAATAGCATTGGCTCATTTGCTGGATCCCACAAATAAAAGGATGTTTATATAATTTATTTAAAGAATATCACTCATGGGGTCCACAAAATTAGGAGATTTGCTTGGTGAGTGGTAGAGGTTCTCTACAACCAAGGATCAACCAAGGATGTAGAGGATCTCTGCGCAGACATGCATGCACAAATACTTTCAAGGTCCATGAAGAAAGCAACAACAGTTTTATCACTGTTATATTAAAGCGCACTAGAAACAACATCCTAATGGTTGAAGAGTTTTTAAATCACCTTTTGAAAATATGTGTAGGGTTGTGGAGCCAGGACCTACCAATTTGGATGAGGGGTTTAAGACCAGTGACAAATAATAAGCTGACAGTATACATTTACGACCAGTGATAATGGATAAGTTGACAGAATAGATTGAATGTAGAATGGACAAATCCACAGTATAATCTCTAGTACAAGAACATAGTAGATGAGCTCACAGAGCATGGCAGATTTACTTCTCTACTTAAAACTTTTATTACTTAGTTTTTTATTTTCCAAAATATCGTTTGAGTAGGGTAAATATTAAATAAATTTCTGCTCTTTTATATAACCGATACTAATGTAATCATAATGCTAATGGTTCTAGAACTTCCTATACTGCCCATTTTTACCCTTGATGAGAATCCTGGATATTTCACTGAACTACTTACTATCCTAGGATTCTCCATGTTCAGCTATTAATCTAAAATAACAATTATGCTAGTGGCTCTAGAGCTTCCTATACTCTTCATTTTTTAACCTTGATGGGAAAAGCCTAAATATTTTTTCTGTAGTATGTACATCTGGTTAACCCTATGATTCACTATGTTCAGCTATTAATTAATCTAATATAACCGTAAACGTAATGATTCTCAAATTCTGAAAACCCTTCTTTCCTTGTATTCTACTGGGGACTTTGGATCTAAGTAAATAGCGATTTTATCTCCATTAAGGTAAACCACATGTAGTCATTCCAAGACCCAAATAAAGTTTAGGCTTTAACCTTAGCCAATATGTTTACACAATAGTTAAAACTTAGGTTTGCCCATTTATAGACATGTTGCATCGCAAGAGCCATGTTCTTGAAGCGGGATCAGTTAACAAGAAGTTTCATAATCAACCTATTAGCGTCATTAGCAATCAACAAAAACTGGGGGTTGAAAAATTAAAGATTTAATAGTTACCCCTGTGCCCTAACAAGCACCCTCTGCTGAGGCGTTCCGCAAATGGATAGAAGTGATAGCAGGCTGGCCCTCCGTATCCTCGTGGGCTGCCCTGGTCGAAGCCCGTCGAGGGCGAAATTGACCTCGTCAACATGCTCCATCATCTCCCCAAACTCCTGCGCCTCCATCAGCGTCGCAGTCGCTGCAACTGCTGGCGCAGCCACATCCTCCCCCTCCTCGCCCTGCTCATACATCTGCTTCTTCTTTTTCTTCTCCTTCGTCTTTGTGGGATCTTGGCCGGAGGAGTCTGAGTCTTGGGATGAGAAAGCAGCGCCGAAACTGAAGGCAAGAGGATCTTGGGAGCTTTCCTGAGACAGCGGAAAATCTATAAAGTCCGGGCTTTCGGGATCGGAGAAGCTGCGGTTGATGTCGCGGGTCCGGCGACCGTAGGTCCGCACGATCATTTTCCTAAATTTGGATTGGATGGGATCGGATTGCTTTTTGTTACCGTGTTCTTAACTCATCCACGGAAAAGAGATCGCGAATTTGGTGCAAAAGGGAGGGAGGGAGGTTAGAGACGAAGGCGGAGACGAAGACAGGTTCAAAGGGTACAGAGGACGGAAGGATCGTTCTTGGATCACCATGACCAAGATTTTATCTTATTTTTGTTTTATTTTTCTTTTTTTGAAACTTGGGGTTTTTTCCCCTCTTCTCTTTTCTTTTTTAATTTGGGGTGAGATTAGAGCTAGTAAATTGTATGCATAGTTACTCAAATCTATAAGGGTGTTTGTTTCAAGGGAAAATTGTTTTAAAGCCCCAAAAGTAAAATTCTTATGTGCTGCAGCCCCTTCTTTTTTTCATGTGATTCGGCCTCAAGAAATGTCACATCATGTGCTGCAGCCTTTGTTACATGCAATTATCATGTCAACTAAGCACAAACAGAGAGAAACAAATATAAAAGCCTAAAATACCCTCATTTTCTCCTCCCTCTTCATTCTCTCCAGATCTATCATGTTAGGTCCAGTTTGATTCATGTTAAGTCTAATTTAATTCCTTTAAGTTTAATTTAAATCATGTTAATTCTAATTCAACTTGTTTTAGGTCTAAAAATAAGTTGATTTAGAGTTAACATGAATCATGTTAAGTCTAATTTAACATGCATGTTTTAAGTCTAATTTTATGTTAAGTCCAATTTGATTCATATTAAGTCCAGTTTGATTCGTGTTAAGTCTAATTTAATTCATTTTAAGTCTAATTTAAATCGTGTTATGTCTAATTCAATTTATTTTAAGTCTAAAAACAAGTTGAATTATACTTAGCATGAATCATGTTAAGTCTATTTCAACTTATTTTAAGTCTAATTTCATGTTAAGTCCAATTTTACTTCATGTTAAGGCCAATTTGATTCTTATTAAATCCTATTTAATTCCTTTTATGTTTAGGTCTAGTTTCATGTTAAGCCCAACTTGATTCGTGTTAAGTCTAATTTCAGTTCATATTAAGTCTAAATTCAGTTCATGTTAAGTCTAATATCAGTTCCTGTTAAGTCGAATTTCATGTTAAGTCCAACTTAATTCGTGTTAAGTCTAAATTCAGTTCATGTTAAGTCTAATAACAGTTCATGTTAAGTCTAATTTCATGTTAAGTCCAACTTGATTCGTTTTAAGTCTAAATTCAGTTCTTGTTAAGTCTAATAACAGTTCATATTAGGTCTAGTTTCATGTTAAGTCCAACTTGATTCGTGTTAAGTCTAATTTTAATTCATGTTAAGTCTAATTTCAGTTCATGTTAAGTCTAATATCAGTTCATGTTAAGTCTAATTTCATGTTAAGTCCAACTTGATTCGTTTTAAGTCTAAATTCAGTTCTTGTCAGTTCATGTTAAGTCTAATTTCATGTTAAGTCCAACTTGATTCGTTTTAAGTCTAAATTCAGTTCTTGTTAAGTCTAATAACAGTTCATATTAGGTCTAGTTTCATGTTAAGTCCAACTTGATTCGTGTTAAGTCTAATTTTAATTCATGTTAAGTCTAATTTCAGTTCATGTTAAGTCTAATATCAGTTCATGTTAAGTCTAATTTCATGTTAAGTCCAACTTGATTCGTTTTAAGTCTAAATTCAGTTCTTGTTAAGTCTAATAACAGTTCATGTTAGTTCTAATTTCATGTTAAGTCCAACTCAATTCGTGTTAAGTCTAAATTCAGTTCATGTTAAGTCTAATAACATTTCATGTTAGGTCTAATTTTAATCATGTTAAATTCCTTTTAAGTCTAATTTAAATCATGTTAAGTCTAATTCAACTTTTTTAAGTCTAATTTCATGTTAAATCCAATTAAATTAGACTTAAAACTAGTTAAATTAGACATAACATAATTTACATTAGACTTAAAATGAATTAAATTAGACTTAACATGAATCAAACTGGACTTAATATGAAATTAGACTTAAAATAAGTTGAATTAAACTTAACACGAATTAATTAGACTTGAAACAAGTTGAATTGGACATAACATGATTTAAATTAGACTTAAAAGGAATTAAATTAGACCTAACATGAATTAAATTGAACTTAACATGAAATTAGACTTTCATGTTAAGTCTAATTCAACTTGATTTTAGACTTAATATGAAAGAATAGATGAGATAAGAGTATTTTGTGGTTTTTTATTTTTTATTCTCTCTCTATGGTTAGTTGATAGGTAATAATTGCTAAAGAAGGGCTACAGAACATAGATCTCCAATTTAAGGGCTAAAACACATGGAAAAAAGTCATGCAGCACATGAAGTTTTTGCTTTCGCGGCCTTGACACAATTTTCCCTTGTTTCAAATCCTAAATATCCAAGAAAACAAATATTGTAGTAAAAGATCATTTTCATGTTTTTCCATATTTTTCTTGGAAAGTGTTTACTATGGTTGTTTCACCCAAAAAAAATTTGTTGGATATGATTTCCAATCTACTTTCTCAGTTTGGCTCCAACAAAAATAGTGGAAGGAAAATTACAAACCTTCATATATTTACAAACATACCAAGCAACCATAATTTGATTCATAACAAACTGAACAATATGAACTGAAGAAAGATAGGGGGCTGAACAAATATGAACTCAAACAATGATGGGCTCAGATTGTTGTGCGCGGCGGAACAAACACAAACGCCGAGAGAGAAAGCCAAAACAATCCAAAATAACGACACCAACTCAAAAACAAAAGTTTAACATGGTTCGGCAAATTTCCTACGTCCACGGGACAAAAGGGATGGGTTTCCACTATAGAGAAAGAAAGTACAGAGTAGAGATTACAAGATCACTCAACTAACCTCTCAAACAAATCTCTCAAATCTTCCAAACTAAACTCTCAAATAAATTGCTCAGAAAGATCTCTCTTTTCTGTGCTCAAAATCACCTTCAAGCTATCCAATCAATAGATAGAAACCCCTAAAAAACGTGGCTCTATTTATAATAAAACACAATCCCAAACATATTAGGATTCTAAAAACGAGTCTGCCACACCCTGGTGTGGCACACAACACACTCATGGCAAACAGGCACATCTGCCACACCAGGGTGTGGTAGACACCACACCCATGGAAAACAGGACAGATTCTGTCATACCCTGCCACATGGGTGTGACAGACACCACACCAGGGTGTGGTGGAGTCTGTCTTGCTTATTTTTCATGTTTTTCTCAATTCTTTTCCTTAATTCCTTCGTCGTTTTCTAAAATTCTCCACCTCGGCGAATTTTTTCCAAAACTGAGCCGACACCAAACAAATCAAATATCTCACTTGTTGCATCCAATATGAAGTGGAACAAAAACACGACAACAGACTCAATCCACAACAAGTCGATGTGACGTCCCTGAGTTCACACAAGGCTGCAGTCCAAGGTGAAACCAAGAATGTCAAACCTGCCATGCACCACACCGTGCAATAACATGTTTCACCATCACAATTAACATCTATCTAGTAGAGTCAACAACTGGTGTAGGTACAAAACAGGTAAAAGATAATACAAGAAATACTAATGGAATGATAACAGTCACATAAATATCTCATCATCCCACATATAAAAATACATAGCCAAGATCTGAGTAGATAAACTGGAATGCTCAACAAGTCTCAAATACAAATATCTGACAAAAAGGAAATAAGGCACACAGCCTTTACAACTTCTAGAACAAGACTCTCAAATGTCTAAATAAAAATCTACTGTGGAACTCCAAAAGAAAATATAACTAAAGAGACGGCTGAAGCTAAAATGCATCGCCATCAGTCTACGACTCTCCGGGCTCCTGGCTCGTTACCTGAAAGGGGGAGGGACAACGAGCGTCAAAGCGCTAGTGAGTAACATCACAACCAACCCCAAGGGAACATGGCTCGTTGTATAAGAAAAATACAGTTAATATATAAGAGATCAAAAAAAATCATTGATCTTACTAAAGGGGGTTTTAGTATTTAGAAATTTACAACACGAGCATAGGTACGTCGAGCGAAATAATCCAAACAAGGAAACCCTCATGTATATACCTTACATCTCAAATTGTAAACTCCTAACCAAACCCAAGGTTCTAGTGCAGTAATAATAATAAAAGAAATACGACGAACACCAGAGCATGAAAACAGTATTGTGACATAGCCCACATGAGTATCATGTTATTACTTACATGAATATCATGTCAAAATCTACATAAGTGTCATGTCAAACTCACATGAGTGACATGTCAGAAAACGATTAAGTGTCCAAAACATAGACTATATAAATTAAACGTCCAACCCATAGACTGCATGAAGTAAACGTCCAACTCATGAACTGAAAATAACCGTTGTCCAACGCATGGACCGGATGTGACCGTTGTCCAACGCATGGACCGGATGGTAATGTATATCCAACACGAGGATTAAATAGCAATGCATGTCCAACACGAGGACTAAGTGGGAAGGGTGTCCAACACGAGGACTAAAAGGTAATGCTTGTCCAACACGAGGACTGTGGATTTTAGTCCAACACGAGGACTGTGAAATGGTGAACATATCACTGGGATACATAGTGAAATCTACCTATATCAATTCACAGTCAAAACAGTGTATATATCCATAATTGGTACCCTCAGGTCTTCTATCATGCCTGGGTACATAGTAAGACCAAATACCAATGTCAGATAGTCCAGGAAATCACTCGAACCTGAACAAATATTCAAAAATGTACAAAATAGGGAAAATACAACAGAGAGTACTGCGGTCGACCGATCCGGTCGACCGAACTCTGGCACGAGCCTGGCGGTCGACCGCTAGGCATCTCGGTCGACCGACCAGACGTCGCAGTCGACCGGATAAATGTCGCAGTCGACCGAACAAACGTTGCGGTCGACCGAACAAACGCCGCGGTCGACCGAACAAACTTGGTGGTCGATCGAAGCCCTAAAACGAGCTCAGCGGTCGACCGCTCCGGTCGACCGCCAAGCGGACAGAAACCCATATCTGAGTTTCTGTGAGCTTGAAACCTGAATCAAAATTCTTTGTTAAACAAAATCTAACTTGTAGAGGTGTCATGACGAAATGAGGTGATCTAAGATTCATTAGAAAGCTATTGAAGAGACCTACAACTTTGTTCTTATACACTTTTCCAAATACTAACTGAATCAGTGTGTAAAACATAGAAACTCTCAACTGGTCAAAATTCCCAGATTCTCACTCTTGGCCTTTGTGCATGATTTGTGTATTTG